AAAACCTAATATAATAATGTCCTTCACACTGAATTTCGGTCACGATGGCCAGCTTCAACGGAGACTATAGCCATCTGCGCAGGACAGGATTATAGTGCCGAAGTGTATGCCCAAGCTCAGATGCTCTCTCCTCACTCTCATATGGGATCTCGATGGGACGGTAAACTGACACGACCGGAGAGAGATCAGGCGCAGGACAAAACCTATCAACATCTTAAAACAAACCCACTTCGTTATCAAAAACATAGCGTACTTGTTTCGGGGTCATTTACTCGATGTATTTAAGCATAAGTCAAAAAATACAATAACAATCAGAGGATACAATTTAAAAAAACTTCATGCACATATCAGGTGTCCAGGAATTAATGGATAACCTTGAAATGGGACATGGCAGAACTTATGTCCACTAAGAAAAACATATCTGAATTAGTAGGTACCTAAGATGCTTGTTTTAAAAAAAGAAATGTAAACCTTATTTTACATCCTTATGCATTAAAACAAATTAATGCATTCCGTCGGTTTTTTATTATTACATGCAATAAACACTATGACCGTTATTACATGATTTTTTTAAAAGCTTGAATTATAGAATTAGTATAAAATTTGGAAAAATATAAATTTAAACAAAGTTTAAGAATTCGTTGTATAAAAAAAGTATGGAAACATGAGTTAATAATTAATTTTTATTAAATAAACTTTTTTATAACAATTTCCAAAATTCTTCAATTCATTATTGTATCTAATGTAAATATAAAAAATAATTGCTCCTAATAATGCCCAGAATGAGTAAATTCTGATTAAACAACAGAGATATACGTGGTAGAGCCATGAGACAGCTATATTATGGTTGTACTTGTAGCATGAATGGGTCGGCTCGACCGGGGAAGGACCACGTTCTCACAGAATAACAGCGTAAAATAGCAAATTAATACTGCTGAGTTTCGTATGGTGAGTGTAGAGAACCGGAGACCCGTTTTACTGGAATCGAGGCATTCCATCTTAGTCCTCAAGGGTGACAACGCATCTGCATTTTGATTCTTAATCGAGGTTAAATGTAGATGTCTATAGACCACAGCATCCACTTGCTATCAGGTGTACTGTGTGCTCGTTTGTCACCCTTATACTATAAAAAAAGCTTTTTTTAACTCAATTCATTTGTAGTTGCGCTGGAATAATCGCTCGTTTCGATGTAGAAGACGCGGTGCTTGAGTAAGCTGAGCAAGATCCTTTAACTTCTACGTAAGCAATACCTCGACATATATTACCCCTACCGGCACGACACATTTATAAAGCCAGCATGTTTATTTAAAAAAATAAGTAATTGTTTAAAAAAAGCAAATAAAATATCACTCCGAAACCGACCTGATCCAGACGAACTTTTCATAGATTCGTTAAAAATAAAAAATTGTTTAAATTGTCGAATCTGTGTGAAACTAATTGATAAAATAAATAAATTATTAAAGTTATTAAGCAGAAGATTATACAAAAACATTTATATATATGTAATTGGTTAAAAACTAAAAGATTTTGTTTTAAAGATTTTTTGTCAGTAATTTATTATATAATGTTGTCATAATGTAAAAAGTTTAAGACAATAACTAACATGCTATTTACTATTGTTAGCGAAACTACACTGGATAAATTGTAACATCTTATACCTTGATTCTTACAAATAATGATTTATGATTTATTTATGACACACGGGAATAACGTAATAGACCGTATGCGATATTTAAAAAAATAAAGACAATAAACAATAATTGCCGGACACTGTTTACTTACTTTTTTATGAAAACTAGCGATCCGCCCCGGCTTCGCACGGGTGATATCTGGATTCTACAACAGCGCCACCTACCGGGTCCAACTATACTTATATTACTAACGATGTTTCCCGGCTCCGCAAGGGGTGATATCTGGATTCTACAACAGCGCCACCTACCGGGTCCAACTATACTTATATTACTAACGATGTTTCCCGGCTCCGCAAGGGGTGATATCTGGATTCTACAACAGCGCCACCTACCGGGTCCAACTATACTTATATTACTAACGATAACTTCGCATAGGTGATATCTGGATTCTACAACAGCGCCACCTACCGGGTCCAACTATACTTATATTACTAACGATGTTTCCCGGCTCCGCAAGGGGTGATATCTGGATTCTACAACAGCGCCACCTACCGGGTCCAACTATACTTATATTACTAACGATAACTTCGCATAGGTGATATCTGGATTCTACAACAGCGCCACCTACCGGGTCCAACTATACTTATATTACTAACGATAACTTCGCATAGGTGATATCTGGATTCTACAACAGCGCCACCTACCGGGTCCAACTTTACTTATATTACTAACGATGTTTCCCGGCTCCGCAAGGGGTGATATCTGGATTCTACAACAGCGCCACCTACCGGGTCCAACTATACTTATATTACTAACGATAACTTCGCATAGGTGATATCTGGATTCTACAACAGCGCCACCTACCGGGTCCAACTTTACTTATATTACTAACGATGTTTCCCGGCTCCGCAAGGGGTGATATCTGGATTCTACAACAGCGCCACCTACCGGGTCCAACTATACTTATATTACTAACGATGTTTCCCGGCTCCGCAAGGGGTGATATCTGGATTCTACAACAGCGCCACCTACCGGGTCCAACTATACTTATATTACTAACGATGTTTCCCGGCTCCGCAAGGGGTGATATCTGGATTCTACAACAGCGCCACCTACCGGGTCCAACTATACTTATATTACTAACGATGTTTCCCGGCTCCGCAAGGGGTGATATCTGGATTCTACAACAGCACGACTTATCGGGTCCAACTATACTTATATTACTAAGGATGTTTCCCGGCTCCGCAAGGGGTGATATCTGGATTCTACAACAGCGCCACTTACCGGGTCCAACTATACTTATATTACTAACGATGTTTCCCGGCTCCGCAAGGGGTGATATCTGGATTCTACAACAGCGCCACTTACCGGGTCCAACTATACTTATATTACTAACGATGTTTCCCGGCTCCGCAAGGGGTGATATCTGGATTCTACAACAGCGCCATCTACCGAGTCCAACTGTACCTATAACTTTTGCGGAAGTTCAAGCAATATGTTGACAAAGTTTTACCACAATCTGATGAACGGTATGGCAGCACATAAAATGCGAACAAACAATAATTATTTGTAAATATTAGATATTTATTGCGTACAATCGACGGACGTATAAATTATGCAGAAATACCTAAGCAAGGCAATAGTCCATATAATTAGTCGCTGGCCATAAATAATGATAAAATTTAAAAAAAAACTTTTCTTTGAATACGATTTTGCTTATTATTGCTAATTTCCGTTGTGACGGATCAATGTGACCGGATATCGGTCTGAAGGACATTATATAATAATATGGTATGGTTGTGAGCTTGTGGGTCGTATAATCCCCTATCAACAAAAGGAAATGTTTTACTGTTTATTAAATACAAAAATGAGACAAAGAATTACAAAATCCACAGTGCTCGCAGTAAAAACATACGAAATTCTGTTAAAGTTTGATCATTTAAGCGGAACAGGTTTTATCATACATCATCGTTATAGTCATAAGCGAACAGGTTTGTTATCTATAAATTACTAGGTACGTTTCTTACATATACTATTATTATTACATATTTTACATTACATATATTATTATATTCTAGGATCGATGCAGATGCAAAGGTAAAACTTTTGCTAAAACGGAGCGGAGTAAAAGTCTAAAGTCATAACTATCTTTATTTCAACAAAATATTAAATAAAATAGTGTGTAAATTAGTGAATTGCTTGAATTGTAAAAGAAAAAAAATATTCAGATTTTTATTGTTTACTAACCTTGTCTGCGCTGAGCTACAAATATTGTCGAAAAAATTATGTAAATTGGCCTACGGGTTACGGAGGACATAGATTTCAAAGAATCGTTTTCTTGCGCCATGGGCCGTGCTCTACTCCAAATATATACCACGTAACGTAGTAAGAAGCGTAAACAATAAAGAAATGTATGAAGAGCAGTACATATCCTTTTTAGACGCCTACATAGTACTTAGTGTCCTTGAAGGTTTTGCCTCCGGTTCTGGAAACAGACTATAGATTATAATATACTGTATGTGTCTTTATAAAGTATACATATATATATATAAGCTAATTTACCACGTGCTCGGCGGTGAAGGAAAACATCGTGAGGAAACCTGCATGTCTGAGAAATAAGAAAAAAAAATTTCGAAGACTTGTGAAGTCCGCCAACACGCATTGGGGCAGCGCGGTGGACACTTCCTTGTCCTAATACCCTCTCAGAAATGAGAGGAGGCCTGTGCCCAGCAGTGGGACGTATATAGGCTGTAACTTTACTTTACTTTATAAAGTGCACATATCAAAACCAGGGAAACTACATATAATTTCATCGACGGAAAAATTATTTAAAAAAATATAATTTTTTTTAATGAATATTCTAAAACTGAAATTACAGCTGCTAACCCTATTTAAATAAATTGTTATAACTTTTAAACTGAATGTCCTATCAAAGTGGAATAAATTTTTAAATGATTGTTAATAATAAGCCGTGCCAATAAAGTAAATAATTCCAAAAAAGAAACGCCATAAAATTAGAATAAAGAGGTATTTGATGAAAATCTGGTATTTTTTTCATCTTATTTACAATAACTTAACAAAAAAATCGTCGCCTTAATCCTACTTTTTTTTAATCTTATGTTATTCTACATCGTATTAGCTTTCTAGTGGTAAAAATGCACGTTTAATACACAGATACAACTTTATTAATCGAATTTCATTAGCAACACGCAAAACTCTTTCTTCGAGTTCCGCTTCGCTGTTTATGGTTATACACCCTTTGTTTCATTTTCCTCCATAAAAAATAGTCGAGCGGCGTCAGATCAGGGGAAGGCGCTGGCCACCCAACAGGTCCTTGTCGGCCGATCCAGCGGCGCGGATAGTTTTCGTTTAAAAATGTCCTGACAATTCGGGAGTAATGGGCAGGGCGGGCATCCGTCCATTTGCAGCATCATTCCACTCCAACAGCAACGGCAATTCGTCCCTTAAAAGTTCAAGAAACCTCTCTCCAGTTAGGGCCCTCGGGAATATAATTGGATCTATCAAAATGTTGTCAATTAGTGCGGCCCACACATTTAATAAGAATTTAACTTGATATGTTGAAGCCCTTTTCAGCTTAGGGTTTTCACCTTTTGGACACCACTTATGTAAATTACGACAGTTTACGATTCCGTCTCTCGTGTAATGAGCTTCATCCATCCACAAAATTGTTTTAGGGTATTCGTGATTGTCCCTTGTTTTTCTTAAAATACATGTGGACATAACGCACCTTGGACGCCAATCCACATCTTCATGTAAGTGCGGCACCCTTTGATAATGGTAAGGATGCAAGCCTTCTTTCCTCAAGATGCGCCATACTGATTTTTGGGACACGCCATGACGTTTAGTACTAGTAGTCGATTCAGCAAACAAATCATTCAAAATGGCTTCCTCAATAGCAGCATCAATAATAACACCTGGTTCGCGGCGATCTCGAGCAAAACCAAGTCCAGTGTTAGCCAGTCTTCTATGGACTTCCTGGAAGTTTCAAGTACTTAATCGTTTCACCAGCACTGTATGAGCTTGCATTGTCGTGGTGTAGGATAATGCGTCGCTTTGGGTTAGATTTCCGAAGTTCGGCGATGACTTGTGGTAAATAAACTATGTTATATCACTCTGCATTAACTGTTCTACGACCTTAAAGTGCAATCGTCGCAACATGGCCGGTTTTCGCAATGAACGTGGCCACCATTTTCTTTGAAGTGCTTTGAGAGCGAACAGCTTTAGTCGGCTTGGGCTCGTCTTGGAAGACCCAGATTGTAGATTGTTGTTTAGAATCGGGATTGTAGGCATAGATCCAAGATTCGTCACCACTGATGATATATAGGCCTTATGATCGCCGTAGAGCAAATGCGGGATTCAACGGTAAATTAGCTTTCTCACACCAGGCGCTTCAAATGGTTATCCCTGAGATGCCTAATAACTCTTTTATCTCTAGATATAGCACATGATGGTATTCTAGAATTATTTTTCTCATAGCAACGATGTTATCTTCAGTGAAGGCGGATTATGGACGTCCTTCACGAGATTTGTCACTAAGATTGGTATGTCCACCCTGGAATTCTAAATACCAGCGTTCGACAGTCCTCAGACATTTGGCTTCATCATGGAATACAGAAATAAGCTCTTCAAAACACTGAAGCCGTGTTAGACCTCTACGAAAGTTGTAGAAAACGGCTCTGTGACTAAACAATAGCATTATATTATTCCTCATAATTTAAATTGTTTTGAGATTCTGACTTTAAGCAAATTTGAATATTGAACAGTTCCAAATTCAAAATTGCCGGTAAATATGTAAACGACAGAACTTATAAGGTATGCTAGTACATATAGAGTAGTATAGCATCCGAACGAAAACAGGCAAATTACTAGTTATATCTATTAGAAGTGGAATACACGGCACGCTTTAATAATAAATGTCTTAAGTGCGTCTGTAAAAAATTTAACATGACTATCACGTTTCTGTTGTGTTTAGGAATTTGAACAATTCTAAGGCGTAGTTAAAAGTTTAGTTTTCTTATACTATGTTAGATTTGTATTTAATTTGTGACGGTATAAAAAATCAATCACCATATAGTCCCGTATGTGTCGTAAGATATGACTATGGGAAGTTCTAGAAAAATGTCATAGATTCCGACAGATGACCTCGTATAACCATCGATTATACACCATTAACCAGGCCGGCAGCAGGAGTCAAAATCAAATATGGACCACGTCCGGTACTACAATCAGCAATCTGCCTGCAAAACGTGGCTAGTCAAATTCTCCCAACATCGAGTAAGTCCTATCCAGTGGTAGACTTTTACAGTAGTAGGCAAGTTGAACAATTTGAAAAAATACCGTGGTGTCATGCCGTTACTACATATAATATTTGTATTATTTATTATTTTTACATATTATAACAGGTAGGGAATTTAAAAAAATATATTTGTAACTCTATGGTTGACACGTTTTGTAAAGATCAGTGCGATTGTATGCTTCGGTGCGAATCTTGATTAGCTTTTTTTTTGACCTATTACGTTAAGTTTGGTTGCATTATGTAAATGTATCTGTATTCAATTATAAGCCGATGTCATTGTTATATTTAATACCTTGTATTAGGTTATAAATTATTTTTGTTAACATTCCTTTATATTATATAAGGGCTTTATTGTATTTCTAGATACGTTTTAATTATAAGTGATTGATACTTATTTCATTAGTATATCATATTATTTCTTTACGCCAACCCAGTATGTTTAGGTTCTTTTTACAGTGAAATTAGTGGTAATTAAAAAAAACATAAGCCCTGCTTTATAATGTAGTTATATGCAAAGTTTCATGTTTGAAGTATTTTGTGAATACCAGAGGTTAAGCGAACATTCGCTTTGAAGGTAACTTTGGATTTATTTTCTATCGAGAAAATTTAACGGAATCGTGTTTTCGTCTAATGTAGTACGCTCAACTTTTCCATATATTTATGTCAAAATTATGCTGCAATATTTTGGGCATAACGGAGGATCTTGCTAAGCCATTTGAGTTAGTATAGGCTCTTAATTAAACAATTCATACATTAATAAAACCAAACTCTATTAAATAAAAAGTAAATTAGTAAAACACAATAACATGGCTGCGTTAAAAAATTATTTACTGAAAGAGACAAACAAGTTCTATATTATTCATACCTTCTTAAGCAAATAATAAAGTATAAATATAAAATGTATATTGAGTTTAAAGTCCACAGTAATGCGAGGAGTCCTTTTCGATGCTATACAGTTAATTGTGTCTCGTTTTGTCACACACCCATCGAAATTAAAAGCATTATGCGGCTGTTTACCCTAGTGTTTTGTGCAAGCAAAGCCCTATAGGTCCTATCCCGGTCAGGCCCACCTATTCGCGCTGCAGCTATTATCGATGACGGCAGCGTAACTCTATCACGTACGACGTACCACGTGTGTGGTTTGACTATTTGTTTTTTTTTTACGAAGAATCAACATCGTATCTTCAGTTCACTATTTAATATATATACATATATTATGCCTCGTTGGTGTAGTGGTTGTAGTAGTGCGACTGCTGATCATGATGTCCTGGTTTCGAATCCGGTCGGGATTAACGCTTTTCTTTGAGAATAAGAATTCTCAAAGAAAAGCATTAATAGCGCCGCTACAATAGACCGCACCCAGGCTGCCAGGGTAGATCTCTAATGAAGAATAAATAACAAAAGTGTAATATTTTTAGCTCCAGTCAACTGGCGCCGATCGTAAAGAAGTAAATATTTATCAGTATATGTATAATCACTCTTGTGATGAACGAGAATACATCTGATGATAGTTGGATGCTGTGGCTTACAGATATCTATATTTATCCTCGATTAGGAGTCATAATGCGGATACGTTGTCACCCACGAGGACTTAAATTGTCTAGTTTTCGGTAATCTCCAGTTCTTTACACTATATATATATATATATATATATATATATATATATATATATATATATATATTATATAGTGTTCTGCGCGTCTTCGTATATATATATATATATTGATGACGCGCAGAACGCGTGGTAGTTATGATGCAGTTTTTAAATAAAATTCTTTGTCTTCATAATATATAAATTATAATATCGTACTGGGATAATCAAATTAAATGAAGTGATACAATTCAAGGTAAAAACGCTATATATACATTTACAGAAAAAAATTCTCTTGTTTCTCCAATATTTGTGACATCTGTCTTTTTTATTCTTTACAATTATTTAAGAAACTAAAATAAAAACAAAACATGTAAAAACTCCACGGAAATACTCCGCCCCCCTGGAAGATTCAGCTTTCAGTCTTCGTATTGGGATCCAGTAGAGGACACAGGTATTTAATACCACGGTTGAGGACTCCGGTGGACGTCAGAACGTCTGCCACACGGTTTATTCCATCTGGTCCGGGGTAAAACGGTATGATACGTCCAAGTTTCCACTGTATTGGAGGAGCGTTGTTGCGTCATCTTTGAGTAAAACCAATTCTCTAATCCGTAATTCTCGAGATATATAATCCAGCTTCCATTTATTCCAAAAATGCTGACGGTATTTTTCTAGTTGTTTAAATCTGTTAAGCCGGTTGAAACTCGTTGAAATACTTTTTATAAATACTTTTACTATTAATTTTATTTTTTGTGTTGAGTTAATTTTTTTTTTTTTTTATGTGTTGTATTAGCGTAGCAACGAATAAAGTTATTTTCTTTCTTTCTTTCTTCTTTGAGTATGATTAGGTGAGGTATCGTATCTAGAGCACGTCCGATGAGGAAATGACCGGGAGTGAGTGGATGGAAATCATTAGGAGAGGACGACATAGGATATAGAGGGGACCGTTCAGGATGGATTCAACTTGACTAAATAAAGTTGCCAGCTCTTCAAAAGTTAAATGTGTAGAACCAAGGGTTCGTTTAATATGAACTTTAGCGGATTTTACGCTGGCCTCTCATAGACCGCCAAAGTGCGGCGCATAAGCCGGGGAGAAATGAAATTTTATGCCTTCGTTTGAAGCAAAATCGGAAATGGAATGCGAATTCGTGTTTAAAAAAATGCCTAGTTCTTTTGAGGCTGCCACAAAATTCGTGCCGTTGTCACAATAGATATCTGACGGCTTTCCTCTGTGAGATATAAACCGACGTAAAGCTAGTACAAACGCATCTTTGCTGAGATCACTTACCGCTTCTAAATGAAGGCATGTATATATCATACAAATAAATAAACATAAATAGCATTTAGTTACGATTTTACAGCCTCTACCTCTACGATTAACTATAGAAAATGGTCCCGCAAAGTCTACACCAGTACTAATAAAAGTAAATCCAGCGTCTACGCGAACGGAAGGTAAGTTTCCCATTTTAGGGGTTACTGGTTTAGCAGCAAATCTACGGCATCTGACACACTGATGATAGACAGAACGAGCGACATCTCTGCCAGCGACGGGCCACACAGTGCGACGTACGGACGACAGCTGCAGCAGCGGCGCGGCATGCAGCAGGCGCAGGTGCTCACGCTCGAACAACAGCCGAGTGAAGCGAGGCTTGCCGTGGACTAAGATAGGATGTCGTTTTTCGAACGAGTAGGAGGATTCATCGAGGCGGCCCCCCACACGGATTAAACCATAGATAAATAAATATGTAGCAGCGCGTAGAAACGGACTTAAAGGTACTATTTTTCGAGTGTAACGGCTTATTATTTTGTTATAATTTTAATTCGTCAGGA